TTTCTAGTGCCGGTATATCTTTTTTGAGATGAGGAGACCACATCTGTATGCAGTATTCAAGATGAGGGCGTACCATCGATTTATATAAGGGCAATAATATATTCTCAGTCTTATTATCTATCCCCTTTTTAATGATTTCTAACATCCTGTTTGCTTTTTTGACCACCTTTGTACACTGCGTGGACATTTTCAGAGAACTATCCACGATGACTCCAAGATCTTTTTCCTGACTTCTTGTAGCTAAATTAGCCCCCATCATATTGTATGTATAGTTGGGGTTATTTTTTCCAATGTGCATTACTTTACATTTATCCACATTACATTTCATTTGCCATTTTGTTGCCCAATCACTTAGTTTTGTGAAATCTTTTTGAAGTTCTTTACAGTCTGCTTTGGTCTTAACTATCTTCAGCAGTTTAGTATCATCTGCAAACTTTGCCACCTTACTGTTTACCCCTTTCTCCAGATCATATATGAATAAGTTGAATAGGATCGGTCCGAGGACTGACCCTTGGGGAACACCACTAGTTATCCCTCTCCATTCTGAGAATTTACCATTAATTCCTACTCTTTGTTCCAGTTCTCAATCCATGAAAGGACCTTCCCTTTTATCCCATGGCAGCTTAATTTACATAAGAGCCTTTGGTGAGGGACCTTGTCAAAGGCTTTCTGGAAATCTAAGTACACTATGTCCACTAGATCCCCCTTGTCCACATGTTTGTTGACCCCTTCAAAGAATTCTAATAGATTAGTAAAACACGATTTCCCTTTACAGAAACCATGTTGACTATTGCTCAACAGTTTATGTTTTTCTATGTGTCGACAATTTTATTCTTAACTATTGTTTCGACTAATTTGCCCAGTACAGACGTTAGACTTACCGGTCTGTAATTGCAGAGATCACCTCTAGAGCCTTTTTAAATATTGGCGTTACATTAGCTAACTTCCAGTCATTGGGTACAGAAGCTGATTTAAAGGACAGGTTACAAACCTTAGTTAACAGTTCCACACCTTCACATTAGAGTTCTTTCAGAACTCTTGGGTGAATGCCATCTGGTCCCGGTGACTTGTTAATGTTAAATTTATCAATTAATTCCAAAACCTCCTCTCGTGACACTTCAATCCGTGACAGTTCCTTAGATTTGTCACCTACAAAAGCCAGCTCAGGTTTGGGAATCTCCCTAACATCCTCAGTCGCGAAGACTGAAGCAAAGAATCCATTTAGTTTCTCCGCAATGACTTATTCTTGAAATCAAATAAGACTATGGCAATACACCTCATGAGCATGAAGTCTGGGCTTGCAGAACTAACAAAAGTGGCAACAGTAGAGTCAATCTGAAGCCTAAAGATTCAAGATCTGGACCTGCCAGGTTTCCCCTTCACAATCAATTAAAAAACATGGGGAAAAAACCTGATCATAACATGGAATTATCAGTTTCAACCCAGAGGCCTAATCCTTGTGCCTTTTTAGAGATCATTTTAGCACTGTCTCATATACCTTCTCTGTTAACTAAAAACTCTGGAAGATAGAAAAATTCTGGGATAAGCTCCTTCACGTCAGTCATAGATTCATAGGAGGAGAGGCGCCAAGTTGTGTGGGTAGAATGAAAGGTTCTGTCTGGGATGTCAAAACTTTGATCTGCAAAGAAAAACCAAAACTGAGTTTATTACTTTGACAAGAGGAAAACATCAACGTACAATCGGTATTGTGTTACCTCAAAAAGTTCAAGTTCACCAACTTTGCTTGGCTGAGGCCTGAACATTTAGATCCCAATTGCTACATGTGAGACCTAGAGTTAAAAGCCATAGAGAGCAGACTTTTTTCTAACTGATCACAGAAGATATACAGACATTTTTAGAAGATTTAGAGTTTTGTGAGATGCACAAAGAGTTCATGTACTGCGGGTTCTCTTTATGAAAGCCTCAAAAGGGTCCACTGTCAAGGTAGGTCAGATTTCCAAATTTACCACACTTGATAATTTCACTTTATTTTTCATTCATCATTTTTAACAAAATTAATCTTACCTTGATAAGCTAAGAACATTTTAGTGAAAGGAGGCATTCTAACTAGAAAGTGAAGTACAGTTCCACTGTTGGAGTAATGAGATCCATAGTGATAAGGCTGCACAGGAGGCATTGGGTCATCCTCTCTAGCTCCTTTGCGGTACTCCTCTTCCAAATACTAGAACAGGAAGAACAGGTAAAGCATGGGTGTTGTATTTTATCCAACATGCTACTTAAAAGCTATGTTGCTAGGATACTATACTAAGAGATGCATCCTTCCAGCACTTCACTGGTGCTTTTTATCCCAGATAATTTCTGAAGAATTTAAGCTCTCATTTAGAAGAAAGGGCCTCACCTGGTGGGTTTTTTTTTCCAGTTGTAAAAATAGCTGCTGTCTGAAGTAATTAGTTATTCATTTTTACCACACAATATTTTTCTGGAAGAGACCATTCCAATAACTGTTTCCAATGCTTCAGCTTTTCACCTTTCAAAACATTAACCATGGTTTTTGGAAATTGTACTAACCATGGTTTGTCCTATTCGACATCTGCAGTTAACTCTGTTCAAGACTAATTCAGCTGCACCTGTTGGTTTAATCTTTTTCAGAAATAGGTAACTTCTATAGTGTGGACCAGGTGCCATTTGACCTTTACGAAAAGGTATAACTTTCAGGAAGAGACATAATCCTGACTCTTCCAGCCAAAAACTTATTCTTAGGGGTGGCAAATTTAAAGGGATAGTAAATATGAGTTTTTGTAGCAAAAGCTGCAGAAAAATCAGATCAAAGACATTTTCAGAAGTGCCAAAGTGACTTAGGAGCCAACACCTTACATTCAAAAGAGGACTTGGGGCTAGATTTACAAAGATATTTAGGCAGAGATGCAGATACGTATCTTTGAAAATCTCAGTAGGTGCCTAAGAGTTTTATCCTAAATCGGTTTGAAACTGCCACTGAAAATATGGATGTCAGGTTCACTACACTAGAAAGCCCATCACTTACATGCTTGAGCCCATACAGCAATCTAGTAATAAAGAATTGACATCACTATGGCAGTGTACTAACTGACAATCTGCTAAATCATTTTACATAAATATTGAATGAAGAGGAAACAGTGCCATACATCAAAATTTCATTTTAAAAACATCAATTCAGCCACAAATGACAGTGCATATGCACACTTAAGCTTTTAAGCAACAGACCACCTGATGTTCACAATATATTGCTCTAGTTATAAATACTGTTCTTGCTGTCCAGGAACACTGTGGTGTCATAATGTGGGTTTTTCACACTAAACTTAAAATCAAAACAAGTTCATACACACACTTTTGTCAAAGCACACTCCAGATCTTGATGCAAATCTAAATGAAAGGCCCATGTGAAAATGCTTTCCAGCACCATCAAGTCATTCGCTATGGAATTTAATGGGGGTGGGGTGGGGGGGAAGAGACCAGAACAAGATACATTTGTTGACATGGTCACTATGACTGCACCCCATATTCATCATAGTATTATAATAATATGGTTATGGCAGAATTATGATGCATTTTGTGCAAGATAAGTCAAGTGAGGTGTCATTGGAAAAGATATGATTTGCTGAATGATTATCCCTATTTGTCTGCATGTATCATTTTTGTATCTGAAGTTATAAACACTATGTATCTGTACTTCAAATGTAATTACGCATGGGTAACGCCCACTAGGCAAGATGCTTTCAGTCTAGATAGCTGGTTGGGAAGGGCCTATTCAGGGCAATGAGCCATTAGGGAAAACAACAGTCCTTAGGAGAAGCTTATCTCCCCCCCACCCGGTGAGCCTTCTTGAGAATGCTCCAGACAGCCTGTAAGTAATGGCTGCTATGACTCTACAAGGACATGTGACCAGGCCACATGATTCTAGACTCCATCTTGGGATGTCAGTATTTTTCCACAGACCAGTCTGGTAACCAAGTTTTGAAACAAAGGGCTCCTGTCATATGCTAAAGCTATATAAGGCAGGGAGTCACATCATCTGTAGTTCTTCACTCCACACACAGGAAGACACCTGGAAACACCTGGGGAACAAAGACTAAACTGGAGGATGTGCTGGACCAAGGCTAAACGGATTTCTAGCCTGTGTATGAAAAACCTGGGGATTCCAAGCTGTAAAGCAAGTGCAACTTGTCCCATAAGAATCTGCAGCCTGCCTGTATCATCAGCCAAGATGAGAATTTGCTAGTTCGTATCCTATCTTTCTAGTATCTTAGACTTAGTTTGTATTTTGTTTATTTATTACGTAATCTGCTTTGATCTGTTTGTTATCACTTAAAATCTGTCTTTTGTAGTTAAACTTATTTTATGTTTTAATCCAAACCAGTGATCTTTGACTGGAGTGCTTGTGGAAAATCTCTGCTTGGTTACCACAAGCGTACGTTGTTCTCTTCACACTGAGGGGGAGGCAGGCCAGTTATTAAACTCATATACTGGCCAGATTTGACCAGGGCAGGACAGTTCTGCTCTGGGGTCTTAGGCTGGGAAGCTGGTGGTTAGAGAGCCTATGTGTAAACTGCAGGTGGGTGTGTCCCTATCTATGTGAATTCTGGTGTAAGTGCAGGCTGGAGGACTTTGCAGCTTGTCACAGCAACAGTGTGACAGGGAGCCCAGGTTGTTGGTTCAGAGGGCTCAGTGGTACCCCGGGGGGGGGAAATCGGTCACAGTCACCATAAACAAACGCTCAGTAGCAACAGCAGGCAGCACTAATGAAATACTAATTCTACTCTACATGATCAGATCTATTTTCAAACTAGATTGATGTTAGGAGATGAGGAAATACTTTTATCAATTAAACTAACTGCACAAAATCTTTAAATGACCCAGGATGTTTGAAGGCAAACATAACTGTTCTGTTGCATACTAGAAAAAACCCAGATGTACAATATAATTTTTTAGACCACAAAATGCAAGGCAATTTACAGAGATATATTTATTTCTTTAGCTTCTTTGGTTAACTTCATATGTATTTATCTGGCTGGTCATGAATTTAAACCCCAACATACATCATATTGTTTTGGTTTTAGATACCAGAATAAAACACATTGTAGAAATGAAAGTTTAAGATACCTTGTAAGTATCCACATATCGATCTTCCTTTTCTTTAGACTGTACAGCTATGGGTTTGGCTAGATTTCTGTAACAGGAGAAACGTTGACATCTTATTTTCATATGAAATTAGAAAATTCAGTTAAATGTAGATTAACATATATGAAAACTGATCTTTTTAACTAAATTAGATTAAGAAGAGTTAAAATATAAAAGGACAACTACAAAGACAAATCCTAAGAACAAAGCTCTACATATGAGTTTAGGAAAATAAAATGACTATAAAAATACATATTCTTAATTTAAAATTGGCCATTTGATGTTAGTGCTAGAGGAATGAAAGTCATTTGTCTACAGAACAGTTACAGTATAGGCAACAGGCAGCATACTCCCCATTCTGCCCCCCACCAACATGCTTCAATCCTGACTTGTAGCATCCCTTTAAGAGTAATGCCTTGTTTACCGTGGCAAGGCACCTCCTCTGTGTCACTAGAATTAATACTTCCCCCACAAATCAGGCCCACTCTGGCCAGTGTGCGTCTTCCCCCTCTGTATTTTCTTATCAGTATTTTCAAGGTAAGTCTCAGTTCAGGCCCAAGGAGTAGGGTTGCCAACGCTCCAGGATTGGCCCGGAGTCTCCTGGAATTGGCATCAATCTCCCAGTGACTATTGAAAGCAATCCAGGAGATTTTAATAGGATATTTTAAGAAAATGACATGACATGTTGGGGGAAGAAAAAAAATCTCCCGGAATAGCTTCAGTCAGAGTTGGCCACCCTACCAAGGAGGGTTCCTCCAGCTAATAAAAGAAAACCAATTTACAAAACACAAAGGGGGGGTACCTTTCCCTGCCCCCCTGCTTGGGGGGGGGTGCTATCCTGTTATTGGCCCCAGATGTGTCAGTCCTTCCCCTAAACAGGCACTCAGCTTTGGCTGTTTCCCCTGTAGGGAGGAAAGCAGCCTCTCACCCTGGAGAAGCCTATCTCCCTGCTGCCACTAGCCCTGCAGCAGCTCGTCTCTCCTCCCAGTCTCTCATCAGACGAGGGTTTTTTAAACGGTGTCAGGAAGCCCTTAATTGGACTCAGGTATCCCTAACTGACCTGAAGTAACTCTCTCAGTTTATAGGAAAAAGGGCCTCTCTCATTCTAAGGCTAACATACCTGCCTTTCATCACTCCTCTTGCTCGATACTAAGTGGCGGGACCTATTGCCATCTGTTGAGGGTGATGACCCTGGTGGGCCAGTCTGTATTCTGCCTTGGTCCCACAGCCCTCCGGGGATATTATTTGGCGGCTCTTTCATGGAGCCGTGAGCACAGGCACATACCTGGTGCGGTTCACCCTTATCACAGATGTCTGTCCCTTTTGCAACATGAGGGAGATCCTGGCCTACCTTGGGTGTGCCAGGTTGTAGCCCCTTTTCCAGCTTCTCCTGGACATACTTTTGTGGTTCTGGCTGCACTTCTGCTCCCAGCTTCTAATTTATGCACACCCCATTCGTGGCCCCTGCTCGTCAACCTCCTCCTAGCAATGGCCAAAGTGGCCATCTGTAACACCAGGGAGAGGATGCTAGCTGAGGTAGTGCTCTGCAACTGTGGGGCCTATTTCTGTTCCTCTCTCCGTTCACATATCCAGGCAGAGTTCCGCTGGCTCCCTTGACATCTTTGAGAAGCAGTGGGCGCTGTCCGGGGCTCTCTGGTCAGTGTCCTCTTCAGGTTCCCTGATTCTGACCCTTTGACATGCACACCTGTCCTTGTTTACTATTTTGTTGTCCCCAATACTTATTTGAGTCCCAAGCTCAATAGTTCCTGCCCTTAGGCTTGGGGAGGAGCCTTTAGCTGTGGGTGGGCTTGTGACCTCCCACCTCCCAGAACCCAACAGGACTACTCCTCTTGCAGTTGCCTAGCCTGACTTTCACACTACACACAAGAGCTGCACCAACTTCACTAAAATCCATTTTAAAAATCAATGTAGTTAAGATTGTGCCTATGTGGACACCTTTTACTCTGTTTACAACTAGCTGATATAGATTTACCTTTGGTAACTGGCAAGTTGCTCATATAGCATAATTCTGTTTTTGGTTATGTTTTGCTAAATTGTCAGGAGGTCTTTGGTTACAGGCTGTTTTTTGTTTTAAGACAAAGGAATGTATATCTGGAAGTGTAAGACAGCAGGTATTGAGTGAGACTTGCCAACTACTGTGAACATAAATGCTAGTAACAGGTATGCTATTCAAATTGACTAGATGAGCCACCTACCTATTGTTAAAGGTCATTCAAATACCATTAGACCAGATGTGTTTCCTAGCAATCTTCCTAATTAAGTCTTGGTTTATCAGGGTGATCATAAGTGGATTTTACTGAAATAACCAGTTTAATGAGTTCTCTGGAAAGGAGTAATTTCAAAGATTTCATGTTACCTATAAACAGATGGATCATTTAGGTCCAGTGTTTCGCTGGTGTAGTCAGAAAGTATAAAGGGAAATACTGGATACTGCATGAGATCATTGAAGGAACGGCCAGCATGTTTGTTTAAATGAGTCAGGTATTCAAAGTTGGTAATCTGTCCTGTGTACCATAGGTGGGTCAAAGCAGTAATGTTCCCATACTCCAAAAGATTAGGCAGGCTGTTCATTAAGATGTTGTGGTACACATCATCACGGACCTAAAAAAATTATTGTAGTTTTAATCAAGCAACACATTTAAACTGTCAAACTACGTCTCCTCTAACAGTACGTAAGATTCTCTCATTTACAAGGTTCTAGAGATCTGTGAGATCAGAACAATGTGATAAAAAGTCACAACATTAAGATATTGAATTGGTTTAGTCCTTTGTTTTTAGAACATACCTGTGACACACATCCTGTCTATCAAAAAGCCTGGCTAAGCCCTTAACTCATATCAGCTTCCAGAAGTATCTAAGAATTCAAAGAAGCCTACCCATTGTTTTTCTTAATGTATTCCATGAAAATACACATTATGTATTCAAGAAATTCTAAAAAATCTTTATACACATATTATATGTTACCATGCATTAATGCCACACTGTTACCTTTGTGTTGTCAAAAGCTAAGAGTAAAGTTCTGCCATTTGTTAAAAATATTTCCACAGCATTGTCTCTTAATTGCCACCATCTCTTATGAACTTCCTTGATTTCTTCATATGTCCAAGAAAATGATGCTGGTTCAGTTTCCCCGTGAAAACTCTGAAGAACATACAGTAGATTGATACAGAAAATGTTTTGCTCAGGAGCCTTTAAAATTAGCCCTATTTGCAGTCAGTTTCCATTTATTAAGACTGCATACTGTAAACTAATGCTCTGTGGGTAGTAATTTACTTTAAACTTTGGCTTGTGCTTTTGAAAATCTTAAATTAAGCTGCATTTCTCTAATAGACAAAGAATTAAGTTGTTTACCAAGACTTTATATAATGAAAACTATTTAATAGATCTTTTGTTTTTAATCTGTTTCACCCCTACGTCAATACAAGACACTGTTAGGGATCATAAAAATTAGCTCTATCAAATGTCACTTTAGGGTAATAAAAACAAATCTTTTTTTATCCACAAGTTTCACCTTTCAATAGAGAAGTATATTATGATTCCTAATTCTGGGGTTCTGGTCCATGATTAAGGCTCCTAGGCACTACCATAATAATATATAATAAAATCTGGTGTTTTTATATATTTAACAACATATTAAAAGACTGGTAGAATTGGGAATAATAAACTTCCATTATAGAATAAAGAGACTAATCAGCCTTACTCAGGGCATTTGTATGTTATTGCTGAAATGTTGGCAGATAAGCATTTTAAAATTCTCAAATAATCACACACAAATAGAGTCTAACAGTCTATGAATTCAAACTCCCAGATATCTTAATATACAAATTAAAAATTAATATTATGGTGATTTTAAATGATAAAGCACCAAAGTTATTCTTGGTTCTGGTTTAGAGAATTTAGAAAAATGTGTGATCTGTGCAAAAATTCAGCTCATACTCACAGAACTTTCTATTGTGTCAGAAGCATTGTCTTCAACGAAATACATTCCATATTTGCCTGCAGAGAGGAATATTTATACAAAAGGTGACTGTTATTATACTAATTTGTCTTTACTTTTAACATCTATAAAATGATTATACATGATGTCTAAAGCACTAACGATGCTGTTCATAATAGTAAGTAAAAAGCACAGCACTTAGAATCATAGAATATTAGGGTTGGAAGAGACCTCAGGAGGTCATCTAGTCCAATCCCCTGCTCAAAGCAGGACCAACACCAACTAAATCATCCCAGCCAGGGCTTAGTCAAGCCAGGCCTTAAAAACCTCTAAGGATGGAGATTCCACCACCTCCCTAGGTAACTCATTCCAGTGCTTCACCACCCTTCTAGTGAAATAGTGTTTCCTAATATCCAACCTAGACCTCCCCCACTGCAACTTGAGACCATTGCTTCTTGTTGCATCATCTGCCACCACATAGAACAGCCTAGCTCTATCCTCTTTGGAACCCCCCTTCAGGTAGTTGAAGGCTGCTATCAAATCCCCCCTCACTCTTCTCTTCTGCAGACTAAACCCCAGTTCCCTCAGCCTCTTCTCGTAAGAGATGTGCCCCAGCCCCCCTTGGTGGAAATGAAGCTAAATACGATCCTTGACAAGCATTCAATGACTTAAAGTAACAATAAATCCAATGACAGGTTTCAGAGTAGCA